GGGTTTTTCCAAGATGCCACCACATGGGGCTTTCTAGCTAGATAAGAGTCCGTTGCTAGGGTTGTTGCCAAGTGGGTAGAATTGGGTACAGTCTTTGACCTTCAGTCCTGCTGGATCTTCTCCCAGAGGATGAGTCCTGCCTTCTCTGGTCTGAGCTAGCTGTGGGTTAATTGGATTAAAGGAAGGAATTGAGGGTCCTCCAGTAATTTCCTTCAGGCCGTTTCTGCAGGGAAGGGCCCAGTCTCCTTAAGGTTGGCTGCTGGAGAAGGTCTAATCAGGTCTTGCTTTCTGGATCCACAAGGAGGGTCAGATTTAGGACTGGTGGCTTTATTACTTCTAGAAATTTCATTGCCCTGATGGGTACACACGTGTGTGTGGGGGGGGGGGCCGGGGGGGTCCCTCCCTAACCTACCTGCCTACATCAAGAATGTGTGCATGTGTGAGTGTGAGCATGTGAATCCGCGTATGCATGACTGTGTATGAAGTCTGGTTGCACCCCCTGTTCCTGCAACGGTGGCTGCGTGGGCACTTGTGGCCACTCTCCAGGCAGGAGGCTGAGGCCTGTGGGCCAGACCCAACGCTGCCAGCCGCGCCCACAGAGGAACGTGGAGGATTTACCCTCTTGACCCTCAGCCTATTTCCACACAGTTGGACAGGGCCGTGTGCGTGTGCGTGTGTGTGTGTGTGTGTGGTCTGTGAGTGTTGCTGGTCTGGTCACTCCCAAAGCCCAACAGCGTTGGTCTTATGTCACTTGTTCCCTCCTGGGCTGCAGGGGTGACAGGGTCCGAGACGGGGCTGCTCACTTCCTTCATCCTCACCCTGAGTAGCAAGACCGCGGGGGGTCCCGGGTCACCGACAGCTGAGGCTTGGGCCGATGGTGGCTTGGGGAACCTAGGCGCCCTCTAACACACACCTGTCTCCAGCCCGTGGCAGTGTGCGTGGTGTGGCCAGTCTGGGTTTTTGCAGAGGCAGCCAGAGGTTCTCGTGACAATTGCACAGACACCTCTCCATCAGGTGGCGTGAAGGGCCTGGCGGTGCCGCACTCAGTCCTGGCTGGGTCTGTGAAAAGGCCTCCCACCCTTTTCCAATCAGAAAAACTCTAGACCCAAAGGAAATTTAGTAATGGGAGTAATTTATTCATCTTTTTACCCACAGCCATAAAAAGCTTTTTTTTTTTCCCCATGGACGGAGGGAGTGCCGGAAGAATGAAACCACCAAGGGCCCATGAAATTCTCCTGCTTTTCAGAAGGGGGCCAGTAATTGGATTCTGTCTGCCCTGAAAACCAGGTCCAGCCTGCGCTCAGTGTTCACGCACCCTGGCCTTTGCCTACAGGGCTTTGCTAGAACATTCCAGGCTTTGTTATCTCCTCCCCAGATCAAAGGCAAAGAGGTGTGGAGGAACCAAGTCAGGGAGCTTCCAGACCCCCCAGCCCCAGAGGATGGGAGGGGACCCTCTTACTCAAATATTCCGAGAATTCAGAGCAAAGGTCACCTCTTAATTGCTTCTTCCCTGCCTCTCCTCTGCCTCCACTCACACACAGAGACCATCAGGTACGGCTTTGCTGACCCGTGACTTTTGCTCCTCTTTTGCCTCCTCAACTCCAGATGGCAAGAAGAGCAGAGAGACATGCTCTCGGCCAGCACAGCCTGGGCCACGCCTGGCCCCTCATGCATGGGGAGACTGAGTCTAGACTCCAGAGCAGCATGTGCAAAGGCCCTGGGGTTGGCATGAGCTCACCAGTTCCCAAGAAATGGAGTAGTCAAGGTGCCAGAGCAGAGGGCAGCATCCAACCCTTTGAATTACCTAGATTTTGGGGGGGGGGGGGGGTGGGGGTACACCCGGCGGTGCTTAGGGCTTATTCCTGACTCTGCACTTAGCGATCATTAATTAGTAGACTCAGGCACTGTATGGGATGCTGGGGATCAGAACCAGGTCAGCCGCGTACAAGGCAAGGGCTTTACCCCCACTCTACCATTGCTCCAGCCCCAAGCTACCTAGCTATCTAGATTGTTCTGGAAAGCACGCCCCAGAAGGCATCATCTCCACCGTCAGCCGGTGGTTCGTGCTGCCAAGCTGCAGGCCCCAGGAGCTTGTCTTGGAGGGGCCCTGTGTGCCCGAGTTCCCAACCCCCTAAGGCCTCTAGTGCAGGGGCTCACTGCTTCCTGGGGGTGGCAAGAACTGGGGCATGTTTGGGCTCTTGCCTCTCTCAGGCACCTGCTGTGCCCCTCGGGGGAGGGGCTCATCTCCACGGCTCCCAGCAGCAGGTGCACAACTCACCTGGTGTGTGGGGCAGGTCTGCCGAGAGCACCCAATTTCAGGGTCCACATGAACCCCACCTTGCTCCTGGGGCTGAGAGTCAGTTCAGTTTTGTGAGTGTGGTCTGGGGGCGGTGAAGCCCCTGGCATCCTACCTGTCAGGCACGCACTGTGCCCCCACCCCACCTCCGCCAAGCCCCCTCCCTGGCGGCACTGAAGGTTTCATTCAAGTCACCTTAGAAGCAAACTCCCCGTCAGGAGCGAGCAGATGTGGCACAGGGAGGCATGGGACGGCAGCATCAGGTGGGGGCCCCAGAACCAGCATCCATCAGTGTGCGGCTGGCGCCTACTGGCCCGTCAGCACCCCAAGAGGTGTCAGGGTGACCTCACCCCTGGCCCAGGGGTGGGAAGTTTGCATCACGGAAAGAGACGGGCCTCGTTCAGTCAGGTTGATGTTGGACGAAACCCGTTTGGGTTGGCCCGGCCCAGCCTGATTGCAAACGCTATGAGTGGCCCCTTTTCATCTCCTCGAGGCCTGTCTCCCGGCTCCTTCCTGCCTGTCAGAGCTGTCTGTCTACAGCACGGCCGGGCTGGGCAGGTGGTTAGATCATGTGTTTCCATGCTCCAGACGTGGGCGGACGCAGCCACACACGGGGCAGCTTGACTGGAGCAGGTTTCTGTGGGCAGTAGAGCTTTCATGCAGCTGTCCGCTGGGACAGCCTCAGCCAAGCCACCACCAAGGCGAGCCAGGGGCAGATGCATCTGCAGGGAGCTACCCCGGGGCAGCCCCGCGCCTGCCCGCTGCACCCAGGAGGACGGAACGACAGGTCCCAGACCTGGGTTTGAGCCCATGGCGCTGCTGAGAGCTGATGCCAGCTGGGTACTTGAGTTCACCAAGCTCAGGGTTTGGGACGACCTTACTGCCCAGGCTTCCCTGGAAAGGAAGCAGTGGGGGGGGGGGGGGGTGTTCAGGAGGGGTAGCCCCAGCCTGAACTCCTCTCCAGGAGAGAATGGGGTGGGGGGGTTAGTGAACAGGAAGCACTTCCCTCCTCCCATGCTCCTGTGGGATGATGTGACCCTGGGCCCTCCCATCCGGCTAAAGTCACAGCTTGTCACCCTGAGCTCCCTGTGAAGACATGAGGGCAATCGCACACGTAGGGGCGGCCGGGCACTGGCACGCCTCATTGTCCATCTGCCCACCCGCTCCCTCCTAGTTCCAGCTCGTATCATGAACCCCCCAGTTCCTGCAGCTCCACCGGGATGTCTGGGTTCAAGTCCCCATCCCAAGCTGGGCAGCTCAGACCAGATGCTTGAAGCTGCACACGCAGTCTCCTGCTTGTCAATGCACCGGGAGGAGAATAAGTGAACAGCACCCAGGTCGGCTGATGCCATTCTAACGGTTCCTAATTCTGTGATTGTTGCCGGCCCACGTCTCTGCCCTCTGTCCAGGGCTAAGGTGGAGCCGTCTCACCTCCTGAGACCTCAGCGACCAGGGAGAGCAAGTGGAATAAGGTTCTAGGGCATGTCGAAGATAGGGACCCCAAGGTGGGCAGGGGGCAAGCCTGGGGCTCACGGGGAAAGACTGGCACTGCAGTCACTGGTATGGGTTCTGGTGGAGGCAGAGGGGGCGCCAGCCGGCCAGGTGAGGTCTGCAGTCTTCGGAGCCCAGACTGTGCCCCTCAGGACTCTTGCACTGGTGTTGAACCATCTCATACTTGGCAACAACCCTTTTCCCAAATCCGGGCGTTTGCCAAATTCAGGGACGAACATGAATGAGCTCGTTCAACTAACTGCAGCCTCAAGACCAGGGGTTAAAGAGAAGCCACAGAGGCTGACCACTGGTGGGAGAACATTCAGGGAGGATGGCAGCGTGGCAGGGTGCCATCCTGGCTGCAGGAGCTCATCCCCAGCCGCCTCCTGTGTGCCAGTCCCCAGCTGAGTACCGTTTGTCCCCGATGCCACCCCCAGAGGCCCAAGCCTCCGGCTCCTTCCAGCCTTGCTGAGGAACGAGTATGAGCACGTGCGAACCTGCCTTTCCTGGCGGTCCTCAGTGAATTCTGTCTCAGGCTCATCCACCCTGGGGATCTGGAGCCAAGTCGTCCTGGATGGTTCCGTGGGGGTGAGGCGGAGAGGGGACTGCAAAGTGGGATCGGGTAGGGGGTGGTGGCAGAGGGAGAGGGACCCAGCCCAGCAGTCGAGGGTGGTATGGGGCTGAGTGGCATATTTCAGCAATATCTGGAGAGAAGCTGGCCTGGGGGGTGGCTGAACAGTAAGGGAACAATTCCTGGGGGAGTTCCAAACCAAACACACAGAATCTCCCCTCTGTTTATGAAGCGGTTGCTTCGCCCCCATTCCAAAAAAAGGATGCTGGGCTGGAACCATAGCACAGCGGGTAGGGTGTTTGCCTTGCACGCAGCCGACCCGGGTTCGATTCCCAGCATCCCACATATGGTCCCCTGAGCACTGCCAGGACTGATTCCTGAGTGAAGAGCCAGGAGTAACCCCTGTGCACCGCCAAGTGTGACCCAAAAAAAGCAAAAAAAAAAAAAAAAAGGATGCTTATCAATCCTGCGGAAAGGTGGTTGTGTTTATACGTGAACCAGGGCTTCTTTCAGGCATGGACTGGGTGGGTTTGACCCATGCCCCCAGCACGTTGTGCAAGACCTGCCCACAGGGCATTGCAGCCCCCATCTGTCTCCAGACTTTGCCCCCAGCCGTCCCTCACCTGCACTCTCTGTTTGCAGGGTCCATGCAGGTGATGAACAAGACCCGGCGCATCATGGAGCAGGGCGGGGCACACTTCATCAACGCCTTTGTCACCACGCCCATGTGCTGCCCCTCGCGCTCGTCCATCCTCACCGGCAAGTACGTCCACAACCACAACACCTACACCAACAACGAGAACTGCTCCTCGCCCTCTTGGCAGGCACAGCACGAGAGCCGCACCTTTGCCGTGTACCTGAACAGCACAGGCTACCGGACAGGTGAGTGGGCGGGGCCACCGGGTGGGGCGGGGCTACTGATGGGGGTGGGGCTATTGGACTGGTGAGTGGGTGGGGCCACTGGGTGGGCGGGGCTACCAAACAGGTGAGTGGGTGGGGCCACCAGACAGGGTGGGGTGGGGGGAGGGTGTGGCTACCAGTGGGGGCGGGGCTACTGGGCAGGGGAGTGGACGGGCTACCAGGTGAGGCAGGGCCACAGAATAGGGATGTGGGTGGGGCCACAGGGTGGGGGTGGGGCTACCGGACCGGTGAGTAGGCGAGGCCACCGAAAGGCGAGTAGGTGGCTGGGCCCCAGTGTGGTCCCTGGATGGCAGGGACACCCCAGGGTGACTTTCCATTGTTCAGAAATCTTTCTTTTCATTGAAAAAAGTGCCTTTGTTTCTATGGGTATATGGAAAATGTGGGTTTATTTGCCTAGAGAGTGCTGGAAAGTGAGTTTTTCAATGAAATCTGAGGAGCTTTTTTTGTTAAAACATGATTTACAAAGTTGTTCATAATACAGTTGTTTCAGCTCCAACACCAATCCCACTACCAGTGTGACTTTCCCTCCACTTATATCCCCTGTTTGCCCCAGAGGCACAAATTTACTTTTTAAGGCTTTTTACAACAAAATGGCAGATGGGTTTATCAAAAAATAGATCAATAAGCATCAATTGGTGATAATTGTTATATCCACACTGGTGTTACTAAAGTCATTGTCTGAGGGTTTTCTGAGTCAGTTTATCAGCTGGTTGGTGCTGGTTGAGTCTTCCATATTGTTTTTGATCCTTGAACTTGGTGGGTAGAATCTGAGTGTTTAAAAAGTGAGTTCATGGGGGCTGGAACGATAGCACAGCGGGTAGGGCGTTTGCCTTGCACGCGGCCAACCCCGGGTTCGATTCCCAGCATCCCATATGGTCCCCTGAGCAACGCCAGGAGTAACTCCTGAGTGCAGAGCCAGGAGTAACCTCTGTGCATCGCCAGGTGTGACCCAAAAAGCCAAAAAAAAAAAGTGAGTTTATGAGAGCCAGAGTGATAGTACAGCAGGTAGGATGCTTGCCATGCATGTAGCTGACCCAAGATTGGTCACCAGAGCCCGGCTAGGAATGATCTCTGGGCAGAGAGCCAGAAGTAAGCCCCGATTACTGCTGGGTGTGGCACAAAAAAAAAACCCAGAACAAAACCTAAAGAAATGAATTACGTATAAAATATAGAATATAGCCTAGAAAGGCCAAAAGCATCTAGACCAGCATTTGCCCTTCTCTTGAACTAAGCCAGCTCAAGCCAACCAGGATCAATTAAGACTGAGCCTGGAGGAAGGTTCCAGAAGATACTGGCATGGGGAAGGGACTGAAATGGATTTGGAGACAGGAGGGGAACATATGTGGAGACTAAACCCCTGGCACAGAGGTTGGCATGGCAGTGCTGCCCTGAACTGGATTCTCTGCAGGCTGTCCCCTGTCTGCCCCACTGGGAGCACGTGAGCTAGCAGGGTCCAGGTCTGTCTGGACCTGGGGTCTGGGGGGGCTCCACAGGGCCCACCTGGCCAGCTGGCTGCCGCAGCAAAGGCACAATGACAGCACGGCCTCTCGTGTCTGGCCCTGCTGCCAACCCTCCAAACTCAATTAATTTAATTTGCTTCGATGGGAACAAATAAAGGATCCTCACCTTGGGGAAGAAGCAGGTGCTTGTGAAACCAGGTATGGAGACTGGCTGTGGCAAGTCCGGAAAATCGCATCTGGGCGACAGGGGCTTGTTTGGGTCCGAGTGTCACAGGCAGAGGGAGGGGTTCTGGGGCTGCTTCCAGCAGGGAGACTGATGGGGGGAGCATGCCAACAGGCAGTGTCACCAGAGCGCCCAGGAACTGCGTCCTGTGGGAACACCAGGAACACTCGGCGTCTCTACCCAGAATCTGGTCATTTCTCTACGGGAAGCCACGCATGTCGAAACTCACAGGCGTGCTCACAGGGACCCAGATGGGGCTGGAGGGGGGCAGGGGAGCGTAGCAAACGGAACCAGAGGAGGTCCAGCATGGGAAAACATCCTTCACAGGTTTCCCAGTCTGGAATTTTAACTGAAATCTGCTAGTTTGTTTATTTTTTCTTTTTGGGTCACACTCAGCCGATGCTCAGGGCTTACTCCTGGCTCTGTGCTCAGGAATCACTCCTGGCGGTGCTTGGGGGACCATATGGGATGCTGGGAATCGAACCCGGGTCGGCTGCATGCACGGCAAACTCCCTACCCGCTGTGCTATTGCTCCAGCCCAATCTGCTAGTTTTAGAGATTTGACAAAAAGACATTTTTTTTTAATTAAAAAAAAATTTTTGGGGGTCACTGTGAGATCACCGTATCACTGTCATCCCATTGTTCATCAATTTACTCGACGGGGCACCAGTAATGTCTCTATTCGACTCAGCCCTGAGATTTTAGCAGCCTCTCCTTACTCATCCTTCCTAATGCTGCCATATTCAATATGCCAAAAACAGTGACAATAACAGGTCTCATTCCCCTGACCCTGAAAGAGCCTTCAACATGGCAGCATTGGGAAATACGCCAACACTGTGAGATACACAGTTACAAAGCTGGTCATGATTGGGTCTCAGTCATACAGTGTTCCAACACTCATCCCTCCACTAGTGTACATTTCCCACCACCAGTGACCCCAGTTTCCCTCCTGCCATCCCCATCCCCAACCCAGCCTCTATGCAGTACTATTCATAATAGACAGAATCTGGAAACAACCCAAGTGCCCGAGAACAGACGACTGGATAAAGAAACTATAGTATATCTACACAATATGCTAGAATACTACACAAAGAATACTACACAGCTGTTAGGAAAAATGCAGTCGTGAAATTCGCTTATAAATGGATGGACATGGAGAGTATCATGCTGAGTGAAATGAGTCGGAAGGAGAGGCACAGACATAGAATGATTGCGTTCATTTGTAGGGCATTAAAAACTAAAAAAAGTAGTGTGACTGGAGTGATAGCACAGCGGGTAGGACGTTTGCCTTGCATGTGGCCAACCCGGGTTCAATTCTCAGCATCCCATATAGTTTCCTGAGCACCGCCAGGAGTAATTCCTGAGTGCATGAGTCAGGAGTAACCCCTATGCATTGCTGGGTGTGACCCAAAAACAAACAAACAAAAAAAAAATGTAGCATGAGACTAATACCCAAGAACAGTTTGAAACACGGGGCAGGATGATGGGATACAAAATGCCATTTTTAAAAACAAAAACCATGTGTTAGTTTTTGCACTAAGCTGGAGCGATAGCACAGCAGGTAGGGCATTTGCTTTGCACGCGACCGACCCGGGTTTGATGCCTCTGTCCCTCTTGGAGAGCCTGCCAAGCTACCAACAGTATCCTGCCTGCATGGCGGAGCCTGGCAAGCTCCTTGTGGCATATTTGATATGCCAGACACAGTAACTAGTCTCATAATGGAGACGTTACTGGTGCCCGTTCAAGCAAATCGATGAACAGCGGGACGACAGTGCTACTAAGACTTGAGGATGTACCAGAACTGTGTCCCTGCCCCTTCCCACAACCTCATCCTGCAGAAGGTGACTTAGTGACTATTTGTAAAGTAGAAATGAAGCAGTGGAAGGGTTGGAACCGACAATCACTGACAAAGAAGAACGTCCATCGAGAACATCACAAGGATGTTTCAGTGAAAAGAAGGGAGAGAGTGGGAGGTTTCAGACTGAACAAATCCTGGTGTTTCATCTGTCGTAGTGGATGCTGGCTCAAGCATACCAAAACAGAAACGAGAAGCTCAAATATGAAACCCCTCCTGGAGCACACTCTGCACCCCCTGGCTCAGGCCCAGCCCACCCCGTACTGTCCCCAGCTCCGCATGGTCCTGGCCTGGACTAAATCAAAACAGCAAAACTCTCCTGCGTTCAGAATGCTTTTCAGGTTGATTTGATTGACAGGCCTCATATTCTGTGATAGCATAACTTTGGGGCCAGGGGTCATCTATTCTTGGACACATGAAAAGCCGAGTCCTTGTGGTTCAGGTAGCTCATGGAGGTGGATTTAGGCTTGGCTGCATTGGAGACCCCCACAATCACCATCGCTCACTCTCCTTCAGGAAAAGCCTGTGCTGTCTGGTGCACTGGTCTGAGATTCAAACTCTTTATTCCTCTCTACCTCCTGGGGAGAAACGATCCCAGGGTCCTCTCTGCCTGCCAAGGATGCTGGGATATGCAGTCCTCATTCCACAGGGCCATTTGACCAGCTGAAAGTTCCAGAAAAATAAGAATACTGGGGCTGGGTTTCAATCATTTGTGTTTCTGAGACCCTTTGGCATTTAGAAAATCAACTTGGACTGGAAGATAGAAACCAGATAAACAGTCCTTAGGGACTAGCATTCTGTGTACAATTTGCCCCCCACCCTTTATTTAGAGTTATTCATGATGATTTGTTTTAGGCATTTGCTATTCTAACCCCAAGTCCCACCATCACTGTCACCTTCCCTCCATCCTTGTCTCCATTTTTCCAACCACCCCTCAAGCTTGCCCACAAAAAAAAATTTTTTATATTGCTTTTCATCCCTAAATGGCGAGTGAAATGATCAAAAAGCACTTCAGTAAAAGGAAACTTGTGAAAACTGTTGTATCTCACCATGGGGACATTAAGTCCTTATCTGGGGGTTTACTCAGCTGGGGTCAATTCTGCATTAATTTTTTTGTGCATCTTTGAAAAACAGCGTGACTGTGAAATTTTGAAAATAATCTTATTTTTTCTACCATCTGACCGGGGCTGTGTTATCATTGTGACTGCTCAGTTGATTCTTAAGCAAATGAACTGATAAAGTGTTCCCTGGAGTGGGGGGGTGCAGCTTGTCCAAAACCTTGAAATGATTGTACAATAGGATATTCTTTCCTTTTCCTTCCGTTTTCATCGCAAATCGTGAAAGAGTTGTTTGTACCACTGTGTTTCGGGATGGACTCGGCTTTTTAAGGACCTCTCGACTGCTCTGACACCTGACTCTGGCC